TTGAAGTCCTGCTTCTCCTTCTGCATAAACCCCTTCGCCACCAGCCTACTCTTGTAGATGGTGACCTGCCCCTTGTCATCGGTCTTGATCCTCAGCACCCACTTGCATTGTATCGCTTTCTTCCCATCAGGCAGCACCACCAGATCCCATGTCCTATTCTCCAGCAGACTCTGGTACTCAGCATCCCTAGAAGCCAGCCACTTGTCCCTATCTGGTCCAGCTAATGCCTCCTCCATGCTAGCTGGTTCCTCTGGTGCAGGGGCAAGAAAACAGTACGCAGGCTCATCCTCCTCATCCGGGTCATAGCCATGAGGTAGAATCAGCAATGCCTCTTCGGTCCCTAGCTGCTGCTCTGCTGCATCAGTTCCTGCAGTCAGCTTCTTAGTAGCCATACGGGTACGTCCTGGCCTGGAGACGGGTGTCTCCCATCCCTTCATAACGACACCCTTCGGCTTCTTAGTTTTTCCCTGCTGCTTCTCTCCTCCCTCGGGTCCAGCAGCTCCACTAGTGCTGCCGCCAGTTTCCACACCATTTTCTCCACCAGCAGATGCCTCCTGTACCTTCTCTCCATCACCATTTCCAGCAGCTGCCTCCTCTCCCTCCTCCCACACACTAGGAGTCAGGTCCAGCTGCATGGTGATCTGCTCCATCTGCTGGGACACCCTTGCCTCCGGCTGTTTCTCCCAGCTCCCATACATCATGCCCTCAATGAATTTCACATCCCTGCTGTCAAACAACACACCCTTGGATGGTTCCCACAGCAGCCATCCCTTGCTCTCAGCAGCCAGCCCCAAATGCACACACCAGATTGCACTCGCCCCCAACTTACTGCGGTAGGTCTTGGGGACGTGGGCGACTGCCATGCAACCGAACACCCTCAGCATGTCCACCGGCGGCTTCCTCCCAAGCCACCTCTCCAACGGCACCCACGAGTCATCCCCAACCTTGGTGAGCACCCTGTTCCTAGCGACAGTGGCGTGCCGGACAGCATGAGGCCACATAGAATTGCTCAGCCCAGATTCTATGAGCAGCGCCCTAGCTGTCTCCAGAATGGTCCGGTTTGCCCGTTCTGCTACACCATTGGACTGTGGGGTATAAGCCGTGGTCAGCTCTCTCTGGATGCCCTGCTTCTTGAGCCAGGCCGTCATTTCAGCTCCAAGGAACTCACCACCCCGGTCTGTCCTAATCCGCTTCACTACACACTCCGCCTGCTTCTCCACGAACGGCAGCCAATCGTCCCGTATCGTGGAGGCGGCGTGGTCCTTCTGCTTCAGCGGATACGCCCACATCAGCCTGCTCCAGTCATCCACAATTGTAAGAAAATACCGCTCCCCCTTGTGCCCTTGCACCGGCAGCGGCCCCACCAAGTCCATGTGGACCAGCTCCAAAGGCTTCTTGCTCCTGCCAGCCACACTATGGAAAGGGAAACGGGTGAACTTTGAAAGCAAACAGATTTCACAGTTGTCATCGGGTGGCTGTCCGTTCAGCTTCAGACCCTTAACGGCTCCATCCTTCTCCAGCTGCTTCAGCAAAGGCATTGCCACATGCCCTAAGCGCCGGTGTGCCGTTGCCCAATCTGTCTCCCCAGATCTGGCCGACACTTTCACACCAACCCCTCCAACGGCATTGCACTCCCCCTGGGATGCAGACCCCTCTCCAGCCTGCCCCCCACCATGCCACGCCAGGGCCGGCAGCTGCCACATAGATCTGTACACGTCCTTGCTCTCGTGCAGATCCCAAAGCACCCGATTGCCCAGCTTCCCCTTATAAGTGCGTGCCCCATCCGTGTTGGTGTTCACCCCAGCCTTGCCAAGCTTACGGAGGGAGATAAGGTTGGCCTTCAGGTCGGGGACGAAGAGAACGTCGTGCAGCACCACCGGCTTGCCATCCGCTCCCTTAAACGCAGCTCGTCCCGCACCAGCCACCTTCAACATGTGTCCAGAGGCGGAGCACACTTCATTGATCGGTGCAGCTCGTACTTCGTCCAGCAGGTCCTTGCGCGGCGTCATCGTCCAAGCAGCGCCTGTGTCCAACACCCAATAGTCTAGGGGGTGCAGCTCTGCTCCAACTTTGGCAGAGGCGTCTCCTTGCTCCCCCTTGTCTCCCACATGGAAGAATTGGCCCGCGGTGCGCTCCTTCTTCTTCTCCGCACCGCCGTTGCCCTTCGGGTTGTTGTCGGACGAATCAGCGACCATGTTGGCGCCGTTTTTCTGGTTCCTCCGCGCGCCGCCATCCTGGTGACGATTCTGGGGGGTCCATCCATCGGGTTTCTTATAGCACAAAAACCAGGGGTGCCCTTCCTTCTCACAATACCAGCAACTCCCTTTCATTTTGCCACCAGCACCCGACTTGCCCCCACGTCCAGATTTCGCACCGCGACCCCAACCGGTACCTCCTTGTTGGTCGTTGGAGTCGTCGTCTTTCTTTGCACCGCGTCCAGCACCACCGAAGCCACGTCCTCTGCCACGTCGGCTCCCTTGCATCCCGTAGCCGCTGCTGCCGTCGTCTCCACCCCTCAGTTGGCGGCGACGGAAGTCCTCCTCCAGAATCTTCGTCCGCACCCACTCGAGCGTCCACAAGCTCTGGTTCTGCGGCAGGCTCAATCCGCTCGTAAATTGAAGCCACGATTCCGGCAGCAGCGAGAGCATCTTCAAGCACTTGGTCTGCTCCGGGTAGGTGATTCCCGCGGTCGCCAACTTCGCGTAGAGGTCGCGCATCTTGTCCAGGACTGGTTGCACCGGCTCTCCCTCGCTCAGGCGCAACGCGGACAGCTCCCTTTCCAGCATCAACGTTGCGACAACGGAGGTCGGGGCGTGCAGCTCCTTCAACACGGTCCACGCCTTCGGACCGCATTCAACCTCCGGCAGCAGGTGCATGACGTGGTGACGCTGGTTCAGCTCCAAACTCTGCGACATCAAATAGTAGCCAGCCGAGGAGCGCTCGTCCCAATCTTCCTGCAGCGTGGGGTCACTCGGTCTAGGCTCCTCCCCAATCATTAGTTTCAGCAAACCGATCTGACGGAAATATAATTGCATTTTCCAGGCCCAATCATCATAGCCCTCACCATTGAACTTCTCGACGGTGAAATTCTTCAGCACCTCCTTGACAAGCGAGCCCTGGTTTGTTCGCGCTCCCCTTGGCGCTGAAAGACCAGAATCTTGGCTGCCGCTACGATCTTGGGCTGAAGATTCACCAGCTCCCGCCGAGGTGTTGCCCGCCATAGCTACCTATAACGAGGATCACTATAACGCAGCTCTGATACCAGCTTGTTGGTGTAAGGGCCTAATAAACTCAAGCTATTAGGACTTAATCAAACTTAAAACCTCTCCTCGGGGTCACCTCCAAGGGTCCCTGGGTGCCTGGTACAAGACCAGCCCCTATCCTCGGGTCCGAGTTTGTAGAGAGAGGGATCAAGAAGGACTTAGTCAAAACAGCAAGAGTACCTTGAACGTCGCGCAGCGTGCCGTGCAGACCGTCGGTCGGATTAAGCTGAGAATTCGCTATATCGAAGCTCGCTCCAAGAGCTTTAAAATGAGCCAAGTTGCCTCGCGAAAAGTTCTGCCATTACGAAGTTATGGCTCAGACGGTGTTTGCCTAGCATTAGAGTGCTAGCGTACTAGCGTTGACTCGGGTAGCATTCCGCCGTCGAATAGCGCAGAAACGAAATTCCAGCGAGGAAGGAATTCGCTTGAATCAATTTGACTATATTCAGGTACAAACAGAGAAGGATTAAATAGTTCTAGCTAGCAAGGACCTTGGGAATCAACCTGGGAACAACCAGGGATGATCCCAAATAATTCCAAGCAACAGAACCAACCTGGCTGGACAAAATAGCAGGTGGTAGGTTGGTAAACAACCTCTGGTTCTGTTTTTCCAACCTAGGAAAACAACAACCAGGTTCAGGTTCCAAAAACAGAACCTGTTTTGTCTTTGCCCAACCAGCCAAATGCTGGTTCCGCTGGTTTCCCCTGGCCTTGTAGCATGCAGATACAGACAAACAACATCCAACCTTCACCTAAATTGTACCCCTATAGTGCCTTCCCTGCTACACTATAGTTAACCAAACAAAACAGTACAATTTCGAGTTGGATAGAACTGAATCTGCGCAATCAACTCAACCGAACTGCAAAGCTTCCATCTTGGGTTCCTTTGCGAGCTCGTCCTTTCTGCTTGCACTGTTCATAGCGCGTACAATGTTGTGCCGAAGCGCACATTGCGCGAGTACCTGCAAATGCATCAAGCGAAAATTGCGAAAGCAAACAAACACACGAACATTCCATTCACACCCAAATGCATTCGCACACGCATACTCGTACAAACAGACGGCAGGATGTCGTGCAATGTGCATTTGCACCCAACAGATGGTAGCTCTAGCTAAACCCTCCAAATAGCCTTGAAGGTGTGAGTCTTGTTCAAGCCTTTGATGGAAAGCACTTGAAGAAGTTGTGTAGAGAGTTGTGTGAGAGAGCTCTCAATGACTTAGGCAAACAATCCCATTTCCATTTGGTTAGTTGGAGTGGGAGGTTGAGAATGAGCTTGCTAGCTTCAACCCCCCCTCAATACACGCCTTGGGGGACTTTCCAAACCATGGAGTCCATGGTGGGATGGTCCCTAGGCTAGAAGTCTATGTGGCAAATAGGTTGGGTTGGAAAACCCAACTTTGCACCATTGTATGGTTGCATTTTAGATTGAGTAGATTGTAATATTGATCTGGCAGTTTCTGATTGGTGGAATTCCAACCTTTGGATTTCCACTTTGATGGGTTGGAGTTTCCCAATCCTCTTGGTTGAGGTTTGGAAATCCCAATCCACATTTCCCTTCCAACCCAACCTTTCTTCTCCAATCCAACCTTCACTCATTCGTAGCACAATTTCTATCGAGAACAATCTCGACGAATGCTTTGAGTGTTAGTCAGCTTGGGAGTTAAGTGAGAAGTAGGATGCGTTACATCGGATCAAGCGCCGACACAAGATCCGGTTTCAAGGTCAGATCAGTGACGCTTAAAGCGGCCGATTGTGCCGAATCGCAAACTGCAGCTGCAACGTCGGATTCTGCAGCATCGCGACGTGCAGCATCAGAATCTGCCGAGTCGGACTCTCCAGCATCCGAGCCTGCAGCATCGGCGCATTCTGCAGCTTCGGCGCATTCTGCAGCTTCGGCGCATTCTGCAGCTTCGGCGCATTCTGCAGCTTCGGCGCATTCTGCAGCTTCGGCGCATTCTGCAGCTTCGGCGCATTCTGCAGCTTCGGCGCATTCTGCAGCTTCGGCGCATTCTGCAGCTTCGGCGCATTCTGCAGCTTCGGCGCATTCTGCAGCATCGGCGCATTCTGCAACTTCGGCGCATTCTGCAGCATCGGCGCATTCTGCAGCTTCGGCGCATTCTGCAGCTTCGGCGCATTCTGCAGCTTCTGCGCATTCTGCATCTTCGGCGCATTCTGCAGCTTGGGCGCATTGTGCAGCGTCGGCGGAATGTGCAGCGTCGGCGGAATGTGCAGCGTCGGCGGAATGTGCAGCGTCGGCGGAATGTGCAGCGTCGGCGGAATGTGCAGCGTCGGCGGAATGTGCAGCGCATTCCCGCGCGTCAACGACGTCAGCAGGTCGCAGCAAGGCAGCACATACTGTACCGCCGACGCGCATCCCAAAACGAGCAACAAGAGAGTGAATGTGAGGCGCGTGGAGGGAGCGACTCTGATTCCCCGGCCTAGCTGTGCTGCACCACACAGGGAGGTGCGGAGAGTGCAACTTGAAGCTGCACGCAAGCGGCCTAGCACAACACCCAAGTTCGGGCTCGCCACCTCAAGGCGCCCATGGCGGCCTTGACTGCTGCCGTGACAAAAAATGAATGGTTAAAAAAGGAATGGTTAAAAAAAACAAAACAAAACAAAACAAAACAAAAAGACATAAAGAAGTTCAGACGGACAATGAAGGGAAATGGTGGGAGGGTGGGGTAAAGACACAGATGCACAGCAGTGAGGAGCGAGTGGGGGGTTGTGGGGCGGTTTGGGGATGCGGGTTGGGAAGCATGGTGGACACTAGCCTTTTTTGCAGCCTGTTCACAGCAGGCTGTTTGTGGGCAGTGTGGGTTTGCTGACCTTGATGGTTGGAGGGGTGGAAGGCCAAAAAAACTGCTACTCTGCTGATGTGCTTCTAAAGGGGATGGCTCAGGATTGGTGTGCTCCTGAAGGGATGGCTCAGGACTGATGTGCTCCTGAAGGGATGGCTCAGGACTGATGTGCTCCTGAAGGGATGGCTCAGGACTGATGTGCTCCTGAAGGGATGGCTCAGGACTGATGTGCTCCTGAAGGGATGGCTCAGGACTGATGTGCTCCTGAAGGGATGGCTCAGGACTGATGTGCTCCTGAAGGGATGGCTCAGGGCTGATGATGTGCTCCTGAAGGGATGGCTCAGGACTGATGTGCTCCTGAAGGGATGGCTCAGGACTGATGTGCTCCTGAAGGGATGGCTCAGGACTGATGTGCTCCTGAAGGGATGGCTCAGGACTGATGTGCTCCTGAAGGGATGGCTCAGGACTGATGTGCTCCTGAAGGGATGGCTCAGGACTGATGTGCTCCTGAAGGGATGGCTCAGGACTGATGTGCTCCTGAAGGGATGGCTCAGGACTGATGTGCTCCTGAAGGGATGGCTCAGGACTGATGTGCTCCTGAAGGGATGGCTCAGGACTGATGTGCTCCTGAAGGGATGGCTCAGGACTGATGTGCTCCTGAAGGGATGGCTCAGGACTGATGTGCTCCTGAAGGGATGGCTCAGGACTGATGTGCTCCTGAAGGGATGGCTCAGGACTGAGGTAGCAAATAGTGAGTAGTTTGCTATGAAATTGTGGCTAGTACGGTAGTAGGTTCCTTCCTGTAATGGTAGCATTGGCTATTGTACAATTTGAAGTGGCATTGGGGTATGAATGGATGCAGCAACTTGCAGGGGCTAGTACAGAGACTCTAGGTGAGTGAATGCGGAGATAACTCTAGTAACGGGAGCTAGACTACAGGCTAGGCACGGATGCTCGTGTGATCTCGTGTTCGTTGGTCCTTAATTTTTCCTAGTGCACACACTACTTGCTAGTTCACAAGGCAATTTGGCAAGAGTTTCACTAAGAAAGGTTGACAACAATGATACAATCAAGTTGGCAAGACAAGACTACATCAGAGCTAGGGTGCAAGCAGGTCAACTGCCAGCGCAGCACGGTCGACTGCGTGCCAGCACGACTTGGTCGACCGCGCTCCAGCAGTGCAGAGACGCGGCTTGCCATCGCCGGAGGCCGACGGCGTGACAACAGCGCAAGTCG